TGTTAGGTTTAAGCATTGTATTGTTATTGAAAACTAGCATTTAAATAAATAAATATTCATTATACTTAAAACATTAGGAGTGCGTTGTACGGCCATGAATTATAACACTAAATAGACCCTTTGTTTTGTATCCACTTTAGAAAGGTACAATTTATTGGCTGCGTTATTGGATAAGTTTACGTTAGTTTAAGCGTTGACAAACGTAAGAAATCGTCACGTATTAATTTAAGTATTTGCTCTGAAACAATAAAGTGTTTGTTTACCATGAATCCGACCCCACGCTACACTCAATACCTGCAACCCATTTCTCTCTCTTATGACTGGAATAATGTACCATAAAAGAGGGCTCTGGGAGCAAGCCAAACCAGTTCGCTTCTTACATTGACACGGCACGCATCGCGAGTACTTTGCCCATAGACGCTGCTCCTCTCACGGTTCGCGTCGCAAGTACTTCGCAATGTATTGATAGATAGTTAACGCGGCCGTTGTAGACTTTTCGTTTCCATACTTTGTGCGCACGATAAAGGCGCGTAGCAGTAGCGTGGCAATCGGATGTCGTGGCATAGCGACATATTCGTTAGCGGCAACGTACTGGTAGTTTTATTTCCAAACCATCAAGACAACCGGTTATAATATAGTTTAGTGTACGCTATACAGTCCCGTACATTAATGGTCCTTCGGCCCGGATAGTTTTGAATGGTTTGTGATCAGCTAAAATGCCTATAACGCGGTCGCAACGTGAGAAGCAGGGTGACAATATAGAAGAAGTCTCCTGCGAGCGATCCACACGGCCCGTCGAAGAAACAGCTCCAACTCTGATACAAGAGAGCTTCTGTTCGGGAACGGATCGCAACACGAATATGTCTGCACCAGCTGACATTTCCGACGTGATGACGAAAAACATCGCCAACGTGGGCGATACAATACTCAATGAGTCAGACGATGAAGCCTCCAGCTCGCCCTCACATTCACCTATCGCAAATAGTGAAAACAAGTCAAAAGATGAAGAACTCCTCCAAATGCGTTTGGAGATACTGAAGTTACAGCGAAAAATATGTTCGCTAGAGGAAACGAATACACATGAAGATCCGCCAGGTATGAAAACCAGTATTGCCACAACTTCGCCACCATTTTCGGGAACTATAACGTCACAAGCAAATGAAAGTGATATCTCCAAGCTGGCTTCTGTGATTATAGCTGCGACCAAGAATACAATGTGCAAGCATAGTCTTGATCTTCCGAAATACAACGGATCACATGGCGAGTGGCTAGCGTTTCAAGCGGCGTATATGCAAACAGCACGACACGTGACGGATGTAGAGAATATGGCCCGCCTCCGAAGATGTCTAGTGGGAAAGGCGAAAGAAGCTGTAAAAAACTTACTTATATACCAAAGTGACCCTCTAGAGATTATGAAATCATTAGAGTCTCGTTTCGGCCGACCCGACGCAATCGCAATTACTGAATTGGAAACGTTAAAAAATTTGCCAAAACCAGGTACTACGCCACGAGATCTCTGCATGTTTACAACTAGATTTTGTAATATATTATGTAGTCTGGAAGCTTTAGGAAAGATATTTTATCTGTACAACCCAGAAATTACCAGATCTACAGTAGAGAAGTTGTCGCCGACACTGCAACATCGATTCTTCGCGTATGCAGCGCAACAACCAAAACAAGAAGCAGATCTTCTAAAGTTGAAGCGATTTTTATGCATAGAAGCAGAAAACTGTGCACCTTTCGCGCGTCCCGAATCAAATTTTGAGTCTGAAAAACCGCAAATAAAGTTTCAACGAGCGTACGTGACTGAAGTGAAAGAAAAGCGAAAAATTTGCATCGTTTGTGAAAAAGACAGTCATACCGTGAATAAGTGTTTAGTATTCAAAGAACGCTCTATTGATGAACGTTGGGCTTTAGCGAAAGAGAAGTCCTTATGCTTCAGGTGCTTAAAACCTAGAACAAAAAACCACAGATGTCCAATTAATCGATGCAACATTAACGAATGTCAACGGCGACATCATCCGTTACTACATCCTAATGAGGAGAGAAACTCATCACCAACTGTAGAAATCGTTGCAAACGCTTCTTCAACAAGCGCCCATCGCGTATACTTAAAAATAATACCAGTCTGTGTGCAAGGTAAAAACAAATCTGTTAATACGTTTGCACTTCTCGATGACGGTTCTAGCGTGACTTTAATAGACGAAGAACTAGCTAGAACGATCGAAGCCGAGGGTCCCATAGAGCCGTTGCGCATTGAGGGTATCACAAGCGACGGGATGAATCAGACGACGTCCCGGAGAATTTCGATTGCATTATCGACTAAGCATAATCAGATTAGTAATATACAAGGTCGTACGATGAAAAACCTAAAGCTATCGCCCCAAACTGTCTTAAAGCGAAACATATCAGAATGTGAACACCTATGCGATATAATCGATGAAGTATGTTATTCACACGCTATTCCAGAGATTCTTATTGGACAAGATAATTGGCACTTATTAATATCGTCAGAAACGCGTAAAGGCGCTAGACAACAACCGGTAGCGTCGCTTACCCAGCTGGGATGGGTATTACATGGCTCACACACTCGAAGCCTCGGACAAAAAGTTCATCATGTCGTTGATTTCAATTCAAGTGATAATCGGATGGACGAACAATTAAAACAATTCTTTGCGATTGACTCGCTTACGATAATGCCAAAAAGGCCATATAACGACCCAGAAGATATGGCTTTGAATCAACTCAAGCAACATACCCGACAACGGGAGGATGGCTATTTCGAAACGACATTGATTTGGCGAAACGATAATAAACCTGAAATGCCGGAAAATTACGAAACTGCTTTGAAAAGACTGCGAGGAATAGAGAAAAAGTTAGACCGTGATCCACTTCTAAAAAGTAAATATGGAGAACAAATGCAAGCTCTAATAGATAAAGGCTACGCCGAAAGAGCTCCATTAGAAAGAAACGCATTAACGTGGTACTTACCTCACTTCGCTGTCGTTAACAAGATGAAGCCGGAAAAAATTCGCATAGTACACGATGCAGCGGCGAAAACGCGAGGAGTCTCTCTAAATGATAATCTTTTAAAGGGCCCAGATTTATTACAATCCTTACCAGGTATTCTAATGAGATTCAGACAGCATAAAGTAGCTGTTACCGCGGATATACAAGAAATGTTCATGCAAATAAAAATACGCGAACAAGACAGGGATGCGTTGCGATATCTCTGGAGGGGCGAAGAACGTGAAAAAGAGCCAACGGAATATAGAATGACATCCCTGGTATTTGGGGCGACGTCGTCACCCGCTACGGCAATTTTTGTGAAGAACTATAATGCTGAAAGATTTAGAGATACGGACCCAGAGGCGGCCGCGGCTATTGAAAGGAACCATTACATGGACGATTTCCTTCAAAGCTTTAAAACAACGAAAGAAGCCACGGTTATCTCAAAGAAGGTACTTGAGATTCACTCGAAGGCTAACTTTGTCCTCAGGCAGTGGAACTCAAATTCAAAAGAAGTTCTTAAATCGTTGGGTGTTGAAGATCTGCAGTCAAACTTTAAAATCGACGACGGTAGCAAAATGGAAAGAGTTCTGGGTCTTATTTGGCGGCCGCAAGAAGACACTCTTAATTTCAACTTGAGTCTTGTAAGACTTCCAAATGGAATACTTAATGAACCTGAACCTACTAAAAGACATGTCTTGAAAATATTAATGTCTATATTCGACCCGCTAGGATTTGCATCACCTGTCACAAGTCGAGGAAAACAAATATTTCAAGAGATATGGCGTACAAGCGCAGGATGGGATGAAAAAATCAATCAAGAACTAGCCGAGCAATGGCATGGATGGATGAAAAACCTTCAGTGCTTAGGGCAACTTAAAATCCCCAGATGTTACATAAAATACAGCGAAGCAAAATCACTCCAACTACACGTTTTCGTAGATGCTAGCGAATTAGCATACGCCGCCGTGTTATACTGGAGGACAGTAAACGCCGAGGGTCAAAGGTCTCTTACGTTGATACAAGCAAAAGCTAGAGTAGCTCCATTGAAGATGATATCGATCCCGCGACTAGAACTTCAAGCTGCAGTAATGGGAAGTCGAATGGCCAGCGCGACCTTAGAGGAACATGATATAAAGCCCGAAGCGAAATTCTTTTGGACTGATAGTAAAACCGTTTTAACATGGTTGAAAACAGGCGCGCGCTCTTATAAGCCTTTCGTGGCCCATCGCATTGCTTCAGTACAAGAAAATACTTCCCTAAGTGAATGGAGATGGGTGCCTACGAGTTTAAACGTCGCCGACGATGCTACGCGTGACGTACCTAAATGTTTCGATTCAAAACATAGGTGGATTGCGGGGCCAGAGTTCCTGCTACAAGATGAATCTTATTGGCCAAAAGACAGCATTCTTTCCAACAAGCCAACGGGTGAAGAAAGAATACACACTGTAGTTATTAAAGGAAAATCCAGATTATTAGAATGTTTTCCTGACGTAAAACGTTTCTCCGATTGGGAACGACTCGTGAGAACTGTAGCTCGAGTACTACAATTCATAGACCTATGTACGAAGGGAAAAGAAAAAGTCTGGCACAAGCGTTTCGCTAAAAATAGAACGAGTGATCCCGAGTGGCGCGTAACATGTAAGAAGAATAAAAAATCAAACTCTATTGAGAAAAGGCAGCCTTCGAATACTACATGCTACGAAATATTAAACGCTCAATTAATTATAAGAGCCGAAAACTTGTTAATGCGAGCCGTACAAGAAAATAGTTTTTCAGATGACCTAATAACTCTTGCCAGTGGTAAAACTATCACGGCGCAAAGTCGTTTGAAGAAGTTAGCCGTGGAACTCGTCAACGGTGAAATCAGAATAAAATCGCGTATAAATGCGGCGGTAAATATCGACGATGAGGTAAAAAACCCAATTGTTCTGGACGGGGACGACTACATAGTTCGGCTATACATCGCCCACATACACAAAATTTTACATCACGCTGGCGTAGAGGCCACGATAAACGAGTGCAGGCAACGCTATTTCATACTTCGCTTGCGGCCTACAACTCGTATGATTATAAGGCGGTGCCCAATGTGTCAAATTAGAAAAGCTTTACCATCCGTTCCTCCAACTGGAAACCACTTAGAAAATAGACTGGCTCATCATCAAAGACCTTTTACTTTTGTTGGTGTTGACTATTTCGGCCCTATGACCGTTACCATAGGCCGAAGTACGCAGAAGAGATATATAGCTTTGTTTACATGTCTTACGACACGCGCCATTCACTTAGAATTGGCAGGATCGTTGTCAACGGACTCAGCAATAATGGCACTTCGACGCATGATAGCTAGACGCGGGTGTCCCGACGAGATATGGTCAGATAATGGCACTAATCTACGTGGTGCGAGCAGGGAACTCTATAAACTTATAAATAGAGCTACACAAGAAGAGGCGGCGAGAAAAAAGGTAAAATGGCGTTTTATTCCGCCAGGGGCGCCATTCATGGGAGGCGCCTGGGAGCGCCTAATACGGAGTGTAAAGAACGCTTTAACTAATACCTTACATGAAAAATCGCCTAGGGAAGAAGTGTTGTCAACAGTTCTTGCTGAGATTGAATACACAGTCAATAGTCGCCCTCTTACTCACGTGTGAGTCGACCCAACTGAAGCTGAGGCGTTAACTCCAAATCACTTCATACTTGGAGGATCGGTGCAAGCGCAATGTCTGGGTGAGTTCGACGATAGCGATCTAATAGGGCGTAGGCACTGGCGTGCCGCGCAACGTCTTGCCGACATGTTTTGGGCTAGATGGATACGAGAATACCTTCCGCTTCTACAATACCGGCGAGAGCCCCGCGGGAGCGGTAACAATATTAAATTTAACGACGTTGTCCTTATAATGGATAATTGCATGCCAAGGAACACGTGGGTGAGAGGTATAGTAACGGCTACTTTTCCGGGACCAGATGGTATAATCAGAGTGGTTGATGTAAAAACTTCTGGTGGAACCTTACGGCGACCAGTGAAAAAATTAGTCATACTACCGACAGAACGAGCTTCCCTGCACTTCTAAAGAGTTGCGTCGTTGGCCAGAAGCACCCAAGCGACACACGGCGGGAGAATGTTCCGGACAGCTCGTGTTAGGTTTAAGCATTGTATTGTTATTGAAAACTAGCATTTAAATAAATAAATATTCATTATACTTAAAACATTAGGAGTGCGTTGTACGGCCATGAATTATAACACTAAATAGACCCTTTGTTTTGTATCCACTTTAGAAAGGTACAATTTATTGGCTGCGTTATTGGATAAGTTTACGTTAGTTTAAGCGTTGACAAACGTAAGAAATCGTCACGTATTAATTTAAGTATTTGCTCTGAAACAATAAAGTGTTTGTTTACCATGAATCCGACCCCACGCTACACTCAATACCTGCAACCCATTTCTCTCTCTTATGACTGGAATAATGTACCATAAAAGAGGGCTCTGGGAGCAAGCCAAACCAGTTCGCTTCTTACATTGACACGGCACGCATCGCGAGTACTTTGCCCATAGACGCTGCTCCTCTCACGGTTCGCGTCGCAAGTACTTCGCAATGTATTGATAGATAGTTAACGCGGCCGTTGTAGACTTTTCGTTTCCATACTTTGTGCGCACGATAAAGGCGCGTAGCAGTAGCGTGGCAATCGGATGTCGTGGCATAGCGACATATTCGTTAGCGGCAACGTACTGGTAGTTTTATTTCCAAACCATCAAGACAACCGGTTATAATATAGTTTAGTGTACGCTATACAGTCCCG